AAGCTTTTCTTGGGTTAATTACATTTTATGATAGATTTTTACAATACTAAAATATGATATTTGCCTATGACATGATGGAAAACACCGGAGTAGCGCAACCACAGTTGTTATAAGTGTAAATGCTCTTAATATGTTTGGCTGTCAAGACTCAGCTATGCCATACAGTAACAAGAGTTTCATGAAGAATATTCATAAACACCATATTATACAATAATTGATTATTTTTTATATATTAAGTTTTTTTATTATGTTCTTATATCAAATACAATAGAATTATTAACTAAATTTTATTACTTAAATTATATAGAATACAACTATAAACCTTAGATAACTAATTATACATTAACTTAAATTAACTAGAACTATTAACTAAATTTAATTACATATTACTTATAACTATTTAAAATAAAATTACTTATATAAGGGTGAATAATATTATTTATTGTTAATTTTTCTAATCATTCATAAATATTATTAGACTAATATTTTTACATAAATATAAATTTTTACAATTTTTTTAATTTATTTTTAAATTTTGCATTATCTTGGCTACTTTTTAGTAGCCACTTTGAGTTCTTATATAATAGAACTTTTATTAAGAAGTCCAATAAAATTTCGCGATGGCTCCCGCACATAGGCTCCTCAAACCAATTTTCGCTTTGTTCATTTTTTTTCATTTCTTCTTTTATGCTATTTATTATAATTTTTTTAATGATATTCTCTGGTTGCTAACTTGGTGCTGGTAAGAAAAGCATATGCTGTCTCTATCAGCTGTTTTGAGCAAAACACAATTTTTTTGTTTTTGTTTATTTTCCAAATTAAAGTTTAATTGCTTAAAATAAAAAAACTTTAAATTCGCAAAACCGAATTTCACCTTTTCAAATCAGGCACCATTTTGATAAATATCTTTTGTTTATGATCAATGGATCAAGTGTTCATAACTTTAAAATTTGAAATTTAACTTTCCGGATTAAAAACAATAAAAACTTTTATTTAAAATAACGCACTCGCTTCTAAAAAACTTTCGTATACTTCTAAAATCCTACGTGACTCATCGAAAATATAGGGTTAGACACTTAGAAAGAGTACGATATCAACGCTGGAGTTCCTCAGGGTAGTGTCCTTTAGCCGCTTCTATAATTAATCTATACAGCTGACATTACACAATACCCAAACAATTTGCTGACAACGTTCGCTGACGACACTGCTATAGTCAGTATCGACCCTGACTGCACTATAGCTGCATAAAGTTTATCCAGGCATCTCGGTTTGATTGAAGAGTGGCTTGCAAAATGGAGAATCAAGGTGAATGAAACTAAATGCGTTCAAGTAATTTTTACTCTGAGGAGAGAATCATGCCCTGCAGTTAAAATTAATAATATGGTTAAAACTCAATCACATTCTATGAAATATCTGGGAATTCATATAGATAAAAGGCTCACGTGGACAAGTCATATTGAAGCCAAAAGATGTCAATTAAATCTTATATATAAGGAATTGTACAGGCTTCAAAACCGCAACTCTAAACTCAGTCTCGATAAGAAATTGCTAATTTACAAATCAATATTACAGCCAATTTGGATTTATGGTGTAGAACTATAGTGTTCAGCGTGTAACACAAATATAGAAAAAATCCAGAGAGTGCAAAATAAAATTCTCCGACAAGCTACGTGCGCCCCTTGGTATGTCAAAAACAAAAATTACACAAAGATCTAAATTTACCAACTGTTGAAGAAGTTATTCGCTAATATACACCTAAATTTCGAGAGAGACTCAAGCCGCATCCAAATCCTCATGTTCGACACTTATCTTCTGCAACTGCACTACATCGCCTTAAAAGAAAATAATTGATAAATATGAATACCCTATCTCAATAGCATACATATTAGCTTTTTAAGATTTGCAAATTTGTTATTAATTACTATTTAGAGAGATTCAATATATAAACCAATGAAAGAAAAAAAAATGAAGGTTAAATATATCTTCAAACCTTACATTATAAACTGAAACAGATTTTTAACTTCGATTAAGTACTTTTTGGAAAGTAGAAGTTCTAAAAGTTTTTAAGGAAATGCAACCACCAAACATTTGTTTACCTTTTATTTGGAAAATTGTCAAAAACAGCTTTCTCAAACTGTGAAAATGCCATAAAAAGTTTTTATTTAGGGTATGTTCAATATATTCATTTGCATTTGAAACATATTTGGAGCTCATTCTAACGTCGTTGGAACGCATTTATACAGAATGAGATCCAATGGATCTCATTTGCGCTTGAGATTTTGTATGCAAAAATGAGTCATTTGTTTCTCATTTTCGATTGATGACCAAAATGAGGCTTTTGAGGCCAGTAGGGGTATTCACTCTCTCTTGCAAACTCATTGCAAGGTGCACGAAATGCACAAATTGTACGAGAATGCAAATAACAACAACAAAATACACGCACAAAATTTCGTGCAATTGCGTGCAATCTTCCAATACTAAAACCTATAGGGGTATTCACTCTCTCTTGTAAACTCATTGCAAGTAGCACGAAATGCAAGAATGCTATATAAAAACTGCAAGACTGCGAAAACACCTCTGTTGCAGAATTGCATCATCAAAATGAGTCAGCTGTTTTTATAAAAGTATAACAATGCCGCGAACAAGTGAAATACAAAAATGTATAGATTTTTTTATTGAAAATAGTGCTTTTAATATTCTGATTGAAGGTATTAACATGTTGTTCTATTTGTTAGATGATGCAAATTACTGAGAAGTGATGGAGCAATTAAATGAAGACCTTTTGTTTACTTTAGTAAACCATCACGGAAATCACCAACCCATACCAAAATCTATTCAATGGAGATCTACCATTCTTTAAGAATTTGATGAAGGCCGTTTTCGTCAGATGCTTAGAGTAAATTGGAACAAATTTTCCTTAATACTCTCACTAATAAACACTAGCGCGGAGTTCACCAATTCCCATTCAATTCAACAATTCCCGCTCGATCATCAACTTGCTATTGTTTTACATCGTTTGGGTTTATCAGGCGAAAATGCGGCTAATCGCAAAGTCGCTACATTATTTGGTGTTGGAAATGGGGAAACAATTTATAAGATAACCCGAAGAGTCTTTCGCTCCATATTGGAACTGCAAACCAAGTTTATAATGTGGCCAGATGTAGCTGAACGACAAAATAAAGTTGAGAAAACCTATTATGAGCTTCCACATTGCATTGGATATTGACAGTACTGAAATAAAACTTGCCGAAGCACCAGTGGTTAACCATACATCCTATTTTTCAAAAAATAGAGTGTATTCAATAAAAGCACAAGTCATATGTGACTATCAGCTGAAGATTCGACATGTAGCAGTTGGTCACTTTGGAAGTGCACATGATACTCGCATGTTTCGTATAAGCACTCTCTGCATCCAAGAAAATTCTTTATTTTCCTCAGAACAATGGTTAGCAGGCGATTCTGTTTATCCATTACTTAAAACTCTTATAACTCAGTTTCGGTCAAACTCCCAACAGCTTGACTACTCCAAACGTAAAACTTTTAACTTACGCCATAGCAGATTTCGTGTAAGGATTGAACATTGTTTTGGACTTCTGAAGGAACGCTTCGGTAGTCTTAAGGAGTTAAGAATCCGTATTCAGAATGATACGAGTCATAATTTTTGTTCAAATTGGTTCCCTCTTTGTTGCATATTGCACAACATTTGATACGAAACACGTGGATTACGTACATGACAACGACGAAGAATCTGATGAGCTTATGCAGAATGAAGCTACTCAGAGAACCAATGAAGGAGCTTCGAAGCGCTTCAATAATTACGAATAATCAATAATTTACGAATACAAATATATAAAACATACATATATGTATATTGTTGTGTACCGATTCATGGTATGTTAAAGACTAACTTTATTTTAAATTTCAATTCTTAAGACTAAGTTACAATTCTATAAAAGCACAAGAGAGCGAAAGCTTCTGTATAAACTTAACACGCTCCCCCTACGTTTTTTTTTTTTTACTTACATTTAATAAATGTTATAATATATAAACATTCTTTAATTTTACTTAATACTTATACATAAATATAATATATAAATTTTCATTGATTTTACTTAATACTTATACATAGATATAATATATATATTTTCATTGATTTTACTTAATGCTTATACATAAATATAATATATAAATTTTCATTGATTTTACTTAATGCTTATACATAAATATCTTATATATATAATTCTTCTGTACGTGTGTTGACAGTGAACTCCTCCTAAACGGCTGAACCGATTTTGATGAAATTTTTTGTGTGTTTTCAAGTGGATTCAAGGAAGGTTTAGATTCACAATTTGGCCCACTGGATAATGTCTTTTTAATCAATTTTTTATTTTTTGGTGTCCATATACATTTATATTAAAAATTTAAAATTTATTCATGCTTACTTTGATTTGTTTAAAAACTTTAAAATCTCTAAAATGAATTGTAAAACTGACGTTGCATAGCTTAAGTGCATTTAAATTCCGCAGCATAATTATAGGTGAGCCAATTTTTAATCTTAAGTTATGTGGTGGTATTCCTGGTAAATCCAGCGAATTCAAAAATTCAACACACAAAAAAGAAGAATTATATATATAAAGATATAAATATCGTACAAAAAACAATGCCACGTCTTCGTGGACGAGGAGGAAATATTGGTCGACGGATTCGGAATTCACAATTACTCCAGAACCGTCGGTTAAATAGATCGGCAGAAAACAATGAAGATGTAAGAAACCAGACTACAATTACACGTGCTAATGAAAGTCAAGAGCAACGCAATGAACGCCAGGAAAATTAATTGCAAGGGGAAATAACGTTCGCCGGGTCAGCTAGTAATATATAAATTTTCATTGATTTTACTTAATGCTTATACATTAATATAATATATAAATTTTTATTTTTAAATTTTCCAATTATGTTACAATTTGTAAATATACATTTATTTTACTTTCTTCTTATTTTCAATTTTTATTCTTTTGTTTAGATTTAGATCTAGTTTCCCTCATACATATATCTTGACTACTATTTATTTTTTTAGTTTTGTTTACATTTTCATCAGATACTACATTTTCATCAATTACATTTTCATCAGATACTACATTTTCATTAATTACATTTTCATCAGATACTACATTTTCATTAATTACATTTTCATCAGATACTACATTTTCATTATTACCAATATTCAATTCATTTTTAGATTTGTTATTTAATTCTTCGATATTTTGAAAATTACAATCAGTTTTAACATTTTGTATATCTACACTATAATCCTTGTTACTTAAACCTAATGCTTGTATTTCTTTATCATATTGTGAAGGCTCAACGTTTGTACTCAGAGTGTCTATATTTGAACATGATGGACTATAACTCCAAACATCTTGAACATCTACTGAACTGTTGTGTGCGACCAGACTTTCTCCTGGCCCTGATTTTATTTGATCCAGATGTCTCTTAATGACTCTGTTGTTAGACATAATGCAACAATATAAACGTGGGCCCAGTTTGTCTTTGATTATTGCAGGAATCCACGATTTTTTATTTACGTTCGAATAGTCACGTACATATACATTTTGACCTATCTCAAATTGTTCATTTCTCTTCCCTCTATAATTTGAAACACTCTTTCTTTGTTTTTGAATAATTCTATCCCTAACAAGAGGAGGTTTTATAAGATCAAATCTGGTTCTTATTGATATTCCCAGGAAAATTTGTGCCGGGGATTCATCTGTTGTACAATGCTTAGTATTACGATAATCCATTAAAAATCGATTTAAAGCTATTTCAAAGTTTTCGTTATTTTTACCATTTAAAGTGGCATAGAGAGATTTTTTTAAACTTTTAATAAAATTTTCTGCTTGGCCATTAGTTGATGGATGACCAGGAGCAGTCAAAATGTGATTAATTTTGTTGTTATTAACAAAATTTTTAAACTCTTCGGAGACAAATTGTCTGCCATTATCACTAAGTAAAGTTTCAGCAATACCAAAACGTGAAAAAGTTTCTCTTAACTTAGTGATTACAAAATTAGATGTGATATCTTTTGTTTTGAAAACTTCGACCCATTTTGAAAAAGAGTCAATTATGACAAAAAGATGATAGTTCTTAATTGGACCCGCAAAGTCAATATGAATTCTTTGCCAGACAGTATTCGTTACCGTCCATGGAATCAGTTTACTTTTCTCCGGACTTGGCAATAGTTTTTGGCAAGGAAGACATGATTTAATTAAATTTTCTATGTCCCTATCAAGTTTTGGCCACCATACAAAGGATCTTGCTAGTGATTTGGTCTTGACTATGCCTAAGTGAGATTCATGTAGTGATTGTAAAATGGATGTCCTAAGCTTCAATGGAATTATAACTCGATACCCCCAAAGTAAGCAATCTTGGTCTACTGTTAATTCTGTATCTTTGCTTGTAAAAGCCGTAAATTTTTCATCTTTTAAAGTTTTGACTATTCCTTTTCTTACAGCATCACATACTTTAGAGAGTATTGGATCGCGTCTTGTTTCGCGAGCTATATCCTTAAAGTCAATGCTTAAAATATTTTCACTTTGAATATAATTTATGAATGAGCTTCCCTCATCCTGATCGCGATGTATTGCTTGAGGTATGCGTGATAAATTATCCGCATCATTAGTGTGTCCCTTGACATACTCAATTTTATAATTAAAACCAGATAGTATGAATGCCCATCTTTACATGCGTGCAGCTGCCATAATTGGTAAACCTTTATTTTCACCAAAAATTGATATTAAAGGTTTGTGGTCAGTTTTTAAAATAAAATTGTTTCCAATCAAATATTGTTTGAGTTTACTTACACAAAATATTATGGCTAATGCTTCTTTTTCTAGTGTGCTATAATTTTGTTCAGCTTTAGATAAAGCTCTAGACACAAATGCAATTGGTTTTATTTTATCTTCAGAAAACTTATGCGATAATATGCCAGCTACAGCTTTATTAGAAGCATCTGTTGTAAGGACAATTGGCAATTTAGGATTAAAGTGTACTAACACTTTATCCGAAGTTATATCCTTTTTTATCATTTCATACGTTTTATCACATTGTTCAGACCAAACAAATTCTACATTTTTTTTAGTAAATGATACCAAGGAATCATTTTATCAGCAAATTTGTCAATAAATTTCGAATAATAATTTACCATACCGATTAGTGCTCTTAACTCAGACACATTTTTGGGAATTGGTGCTTTCAAAATAGATTCCGTTCTTTCTTTATTTTTAGTAAGTCCATATTTGTCAATTGTGAAACCCAGGTACGAAATTTTAGTTTTAAAAAATTCACATTTGGACAAATTTAATTTAAGACCAGCAGTTTGTAATTTACAGAGAACTGCTTTAAGGTTATGAATATGTTCTGAAGTGTTTCTCCCAGAAACAGTGATATCGTCTTGATATACAACTACAAAGGGAATATTACACAAAAGATTTTCCATGGTCTTTTGAAAAATAGCTGCTGCTGTTTTAATACCAAAAGGTAAATGTTTCATTTTTAGAGTACCAATATGTGTTGACCACGTACATAAGAGCTGAGATTTATCATCAAGTACAAGTTGATTGTACGCATTTAACAAATCAAGTTTCGAAAACAGTTCACCCCCTTGAAGTGATGCAAAAATTTCATCAATGCGGGGTAACGGGTATTTAAAATCTGATAGATGTTTATTGATCGTGACTTTATAATCGCCACATATTCTAATATCACCATTCGGTTTTAAGATGGGAACTAAAGGTGTACCCCATTCTGCATTATTTATTGGTTCTAAAATATCTTTAGCAATTAACTCTCTTAAATTACTTTCAATTTTACTTTTCCATGCTAATGGGACTGGTCGTGGTTTAAAAAAAACTGGTTTGAAATCTTTTTCCATTGGTAAAGAAATTCTGGCTAGTTTATATGTACCTATATCACCATCAAAAATCTCAATAAATTCATTTTTAATTTGTTCAATAAAAATAGCATATTGACTAGAACAATTAATAGAATTTACTTGAATAAGTTCAAACCCAAAGGCTCTTAAAAAATTCCTGCCTAACAAAGGAGAACTATTATTGTTAGTAACTACTAACTTAATTTTCTTATTTATACCATTATACTCAATATTTTCGAAATATTCACCTAGTACTTTAATATGATTACCATTGTAATCAACATACGGATCAATACAATTTTTAAGACTTACTGTTTTGTTGCACCTGTTTAATATATATTTGGGTATTAAACTACATGGAGCACCTGAGTCGCAGACAACATCCATCGAAATTCCATTAAAATTAATCGTCACCGAGTACAATTCTGTTGAATCCTCACCTTTCTGATTAATGCTGTAAATACAAAACCTATTATCAATATGATCTTTAACTTTTATACTAGATACTTTATTTACAACTTTAGTATTTTTTTTACAAATCGAAGATAGATGTCCAATTCTTCCACACTGATGACATTTACATGACTTATAATAGCATTCATTCGAAACATGGTTTCGCCAACCACAATGTGCACACGGTTGAAAAGTTTTAGTTGATTTATTGTTTTGCACTTTGTTAGGAATATTCTTGTTAGGGATATTTTTGTAACTCCCATTTGTTTTGTTGTACTTAGGTTTTACATCATTATTATTATTTATGTAATTAACATTTTCTCCATAACTTTTTTGCTCACTGAGCCTAAGCTCTATAATAAGTGCTTTTCTGAGTGCCTGTTCAATTGTGAGATTCTCATCTTCCTCACATAGTCTTTCAAAAATTTTGTTTTTTATGCCCATGATGAACCGATCCAGAATAAAAGCTGATAAGTTCTCTCCAAACTTACATGTTAACGCTAACTTTTTTACTCTTGCATACCACTCTGATACCGTTTCTATTTCTGACTGCACTGCACTATGAAAGATTTTACGTTCTCTAAAAATTATAGTTGGTGGTGTATATTGTGTTTTTAAGATTGCACACAACTCTTTATATGTTTTCGATATAGGTGATGCTGGACTGCATAAGTTATGTAATAGTTCATCTGAAGCTGATCCGATATTTTTTAATAAAGAAGCTTTTTTTATGTTCTCATTCGTACAATTAATTTCGGCAAAATAAATTTCCAATCTCTTATTCCACAAAGTCCATTGCTCTTTTTGAGGCGAAAATTCAGCAATACAGTTTTGCTGGAATATATTTGGCGCGCTAGCGGTTTGTGCTAGTTCCGTTTGCTGCAACATCTTTTATTTATTTTAAATATGTTAAAATGAAGTATATAGTTTTTATATATATGTTTTTATATATTTTAATAAATATATATATATTATTATTATAATTTTTTTTATTTACTGTTTTCACTTTTACTGTTGGGCGTCTTTATTGAATTTTGCATGTTCTTAATTTATTTTATTTATGTATTAACATAATAATTTATATTTACTGAATTTATTTAAAAAAAAATGTTAATAATTTGTACACTTTTTTTTTTTTCTTTTAAATTTTATGCAAACATGAATTTTGCACGTTTTTAATTGATTTTTGTTTATGTATTAACATAACAATTTATATTTACTGAATTTATTTAAAAAAAATGTTAATAATTTGTACACTTTTTTTTTTTTTCTTTTAAATTTTATGCAAACATGAATTTTGCACGTTTTTAATTGATTTTTGTTTATGTATTAACATAACAATTTATATTTACTGAATTTATTTAAAAAAAAAAAATGTTAATAATTTGTACACTTTTTTTTTTTTCTTTTAAATTTTATGCAAACATGAATTTTGCACGTTTTTAATTGATTTTTGTTTATGTATTAAATAATAATTTATATTTACTGAATTTATTTAAAAAAAAATGTTAATAATTTGTACACTTTTTTTTTTTTCTTTTAAATTTTATGCAAACATGAATTTTGCACGTTTTTAATTGATTTTTGTTTATGTATTAACATAACAATTTATATTTACTGAATTTATTTAAAAAAAAAAATGTTAATAATTTGTACACTTTTTTTTTTTATACTTGCTTCAACATCTTCAATTTTAATTCCTCTTTTTATTCATTTTACTTATTTTTTTTTTTATCTATTTATTCCTCGTCGCCAATTATGTTGTGTACCGATTCATGGTATGTTAAAGACTAACTTTTTTTTAAATTTCAATTCTTAAGACTATGTTACAATTCTATAAAAGCACAAGAGAGCGAAAGCTTCTGTATAAACTTAACATTTATA